CACGCAGATATTCACTCACGAAGCATAAAATTGGATCTTCTGCAATCATTTGTTTCTTAAGATGGCGATGATATTTACCTTTTGAACAAGTTTTGCAATTTGCTAGCACGTTATTTTCGGAAAGAGGTAGTCTCCCAAAATTTGCTTTGTGTTTTCATGTGCAGCACTGTGTGCTCGTTTATGTTCCTGCAACACTATTGCCCTTTGTTCGTTTTTATCAAATATGTTGATAAGTCAATTCAAATTAGGGACGAAATGATTACACTGAAAATTAAAGCTGCAAAATCGTTTGTATGTGGCATTGCAGGCCTTACATCCAGCAATGGGTGTTCTAAATGTAACCAGGTAGGGAAACAAGTTAACAATACATTAACTAATGCTACTAATTGTGGAGATTTACTGTCAGATGAGGATTTTAAAACTAAAAAATTCTTGCAACATCACCAAAAGCTTTTTTACAACAACATAACTCCTTTCGAGAATATAAACTTAAATATGATAAATCAAGTTCCACTGATCCCATGCACCTAATAGACCTTAGAGTAGTTAGTAAATTTGTTGCAAGGATGTTTTACGATAAAACCAATTTCAAAGTAAGTGAAGAAGGTAAAAAGGGAATATCTGACCACTTAGTTAGCATTAGATTAAATATACCGAAGGAAATTGTGTGTAAACCTAGAAGTTTTTGCGAACTACCTAATTGGAAGGCCACCGAGTTTCGTCAATTTGTATTGTACTCGGGTATATCTGTGCTGAAAAACAAAGTTCACCCAGACGTTTACTACGAATTCCTTCTCTTGCATTGTGCTTACCGGTTGCTTTCATGTCCTAAAACATGAAAAAATAATGTTCCACTAGCTCAAAATATGCTGCAATTGTTTGCTGAAAACTTCACAATCATTTTTGGGGAGAATAGTATTTCATATTAATGTTCACGGGCTTTTGCATTTGGTAGATTCTGTAGCATAATTTGGGTATGCTTCAAAGTTTTCTAGTTATCCCTTCGAGAACTAGCTACAAACCCTGAAAAATTATGTCGAGAAGCCTTCAAAATTATTGCAGCAAATTACTAAAAGTGTTGAAGAATATAATTGTTGAAAAAAATTATTTTAAAGAAATATATAAAAACAACGAAATAATTTACTGTGTTTTAAGTGATTATTTTTTAAGTACCAAATTTTCTGAAAATTTTTGTTGTGTTTTACCAAATACTCCTTAAAAGTTATTGGCTTTAGAAAAAAATTACAACTCTGTGGTTCTAATTGGAAAAATGGGAAAAAATTCCTTACGATTGATAGCTTTTTTAAAGAACCAACTGATTCATTGACATCTTTAGGCATACATATGCCTTTTCATTCTGATAATTTGGGTGTAGTGGAGGAGTTTACTTTAGATAAGATTAAATACAAATTTGTTGGTATCCCGAAAGATAATCACTTTATATTAATACCACTGCTTCATTGCCTAATTTGAATATTAACTTTACGAAAATCACTGCACCTTAACTTTATTGATTAACTATTTGCAAGTATATAAAAGGCAACAGATAAAATGTATGAAAATAAGATAAATGTTACTGAAGGAAAAAATGTGCCGTCGAAAATTAAACGGCTAAATCTTCCTATGGAAATAACAAAAACAAACGGAAAGCAGATGCTCGAAATGTACGGAGCTTATAGAAATACTGAAGAAAGATCTCAGCGACGTTAAAGGTAAATATTTATATACATATATATATAAATACAGTGACTCAAACAACAGCTACCTATGAATATATGTGGAACTTTTCTAAATGTTGTGAAACTTCTGTAGATGCTGAAGAAGGTTTAGCCAGAAAACACGTGAGCATTGAAAAAATTATCTTGTTGTCAGTTGTTTGAGTCACAGTCACTTTGTGATATTATTTTTGTATGTACACCTGTACATTTTTATTCTGTATATCGATGGTCCTGTGCAATAACGACACAATTCAAACTTCAAAAAACATAAACCGTTACTACTGTTAAGTGGCTCTTATCTTAAATCCTTCTCTAATCCATTGCCATCCTTTACTAAAGTAAACAGTAAGGACTGCTGAAGAAAGTACAAAAGATTCGACATGGATTCGACAAGGATTAGAGACATGAGCCACTTCAAAGTAGTAACAGTTTTAATTTTTTGAATTCTGAATTGTGCCGTTATTGCACCGAGCTACCGATATGTTCTAACATGTCTGCATATTTATACTGTTTTTTTTTTTTTGAAGTGAAACTTCTTTAGCGGCGGTTGGTTGGTTGGGAGTAAATTAGCAAATTCAGCGGAAATTGCACACGGAACTGGTCGGGACGGAAATGGTGCAACGGAAATGATTGGGGCTGAAACAAATACTTCTTGTGTATATGCAACGGAAATGATGCAACAGAACTGATGCAACGGAAATGGTGCAAGGGAAATGGTGCAACGCAAATGGTTGGGGCTGAAACAAGTGCTTCTTATATGTATGCATATGGTATCTATAAATTTAACAAAAATTTGCTAACAAAAGGTTAAAGAATAACACTTAGAAAAAGACCAATACAAGAATGAAAGTAAAGGTGACTACGTACATAAATGAAGAAAAGGATAAAGGCAAAGGTAAAAATAACAACAAAAACAAAGATGCGTAAAGATAAAGGCAAAAATGAAGACCAAGGTAAATCTAAACACTTTACTTATATATATAAGAACAAATGTGAAGGGGAATATGTAGCGGAAAAAAATGATGAACATAAAAGTGCAGACAAAGAGGAGGATGAGGATACCGATAAAAGCAAAGATAAAGGTAGGGGAAGAAAGATTAAAATAGAGGTAATTACAGAGGAAAGGATATAGAGAGAGACACAGAGACTCAATCTGGGAATTATTTTTGGATTTTAGAGATTTTCGGGATTCTCGAGATCTACCGATAAAATAATCGAGATTTTTATCGGTTTTGTTATCGATATTTATCGACTTTGTTAGCGATATTTATCAATTTTGTTATCGATATTTATCCGATTTAGTTATCGATATTTATCGATTTTGTTATCGATATTTATTGATTTGGTTATCGATATTTATCGAATTTGTTATCGATATTTATCGATTAAGTTATCGATATAAATAGATTTTGTCATCGATATTTATCGATTTTGTTATCGATACTTATCGATTTTGTTATCGATATTTTGATCGATTTAGCTACCAACGGTATTATCGATGTTGCTATTGAAATTTTTATCGAATTTGTCATCGATTTTGGTATCGGTATTTTGATGGACGTTATAATCGATTTTGTTATCGATAGAGTATAATGATAAAAATGAAGATAATGGAAAAACAGAATAACATGAATGTTATTAAAACGAACAGTGGTAGAGTTAGGGATCGCCATTGATAGAAAAAAAGCGAAAAAATATAACCTTAAGCAAAAGCAGATGTGTGTATGTATAGATAGATAAGTAACGTAAGTTTCACTTCTACAGTGTGGCTCAGGCGCACTTACTTTTTTTTTAACAGAGGACAACAAAAGCTAAGACGAAGCTGTTATGAAGGTGCTAGCGGGTCAAACTGTGCCAATAAAATCCCTGATCCGTTAACAAAACGATGTAGTTTCGTTCAATTCTTCATTTCCAGTGGAAACAGATGACACTTTCGCAGCCGTGGACTGTAATATAAATAAGGATAATAAATTGATTTATGTGAGTACTAAATATATTCATCACTTGTACTTCCTTAATAAACTAAGCGTAATAAACAATCACTACCTTTCACCTAAATATTCAATAGCTTGATGGTATGAAGTCTTTAATGAAAGGAAAGCCCAAGAAGATGCTTTTTTCCATTTTACTAAAGAGGTAATACTGAAATACAACGTCGATGGCACTCACGGAAAAAAAGGTTAAACGATTACAAAAACTTTTATCCACTTTTTAAAGATAAGATAGTGACTGAAATTCTTGAATGCGGAACATAAACAATTTTTTAATTATTCCTCTATCGATATTAGATGCTTTTTATATTGACGAAAAGGATCCAGATGACATAATTCCGAAGGATATTCAGACCGTAAAAAACAAAATTTTTACGGCGAAAGCATGAAAAAAAATTGCTTAAATTAAAAAAATTATCTAGGTTAAGTTTCTCTAAAATCTCCAATGCGAGTGACGATTCCCAACAGTATTTTTAGTGTAAATTTCTTTATTTAGCGAACGTGAATTGTTTTAAATCGCAAAAAACAGAAATTAGCATAAGTTTCTTTAAAAGTTCCAATGTGAGTATCGATTACCGATCATTACCAAAATGTAAATTTCTTGTTTATATACATAAATACTTAGCAATGAATTGGAGTGTAAATGTTTAAAATTAACTGAATTGAAATGTACTTTAGTTGAAACAAAAAGATAATAAAATTTTATAGTTACCACAAAAGAAACATATTTATAAATAGTGTAAACAGACAGGTATACATGTAATTGGAAACGAATAGGTTTTAAAATAGTTGGAAGCAGAGAGGTATGAAAATAGTTAGAAACAAACAAAATTTGAAAGTGTTGGAAACAAATCGATTTTAAAATATTTGGAAACAAATGGAATCTAAAGTAGTTGGAAATGGACTAATATTATTGCAGCTACAAAAAAACTCATTTTAATATCCTTTCAGCCAAATATATTTTAATTTTGGTTGAAATCAAATGCAGAGTCGGATAATTGATTTGCTCCTAGGACATCGCCATATTAGTTAGTTAGTTGCTTATATGAAAAAGGAAGAATTCCAACTACTTTTTAAATTGCTTTTAAAGTAGTTGCATTTCCGACTTGGTATCCACAATAGGGTTCATCTTAGGGACAATTCGTCTTAAGCCTTGTATTTTTAAGTTTTAGACAATTCGAATATTTCTAAGACTACTCTAATGTACATACCTACCTTAACCAAGTGCTTTTATACATAGCGCTTAAGATTTTTATCACTTCCCTGATTTTTTCCAAAATTCCTGTTTCAGGACGTAGCATTTATAAATCCAGCAAATGTCGTTTTTGTGTACATGTTAATACGGGAACTGGTAGATGGCGAAGAAACCAAAGAATCGGAACTACAGGCATCTGTACTTACGTGTTTATATTTATCATATTCTTACATGGGCAATGAAATAAGCTACCCACTTAAACCATTCCTCGTTGAAGACTCAAAGGAAAAGTTTTGGGAGAGGTAAGTTGCATAAGTTGATTGTATGTACATACAATGTCTAATATATTATGGTTATTCGTGAAAAGGCTTAAATGCCTCGTAAACCCGTAAACTTGGTAAATAAACCGGATATACATACAAAATTAAGTAAGTTGACGTGGTTACAGGGCATTTACTCGTTGAGATGAATACCCTTACTTTCCTATAAACCTTTTATTTGGCTTGTAAATATTATAATCAAGCGGATTTAAACCTTGTAACTAAAGTTAAGGAAAATAGGCGTATAAATTACAAAAATACAAAATATATATATCTGTGTCATTTGTTTAGTCCGCTGTTTTCTTGCGGCCAATTTGAGCTCAACTTATCAATTAAACTTAACACAATTTTCCTTACTTACTCTAACCCTAACCCGCATCACTGTACGGGTAAAAATGCCACCGACGGACACGGCGTTAATCATATCAAAAAACCCTTGGCTACCGGCCAACTTTATTCGGGCAAGCTTGAAAGACCCTACGCGCTCACCACCAGCTCCAACGTACCCCTCGAGCGACCCAAGGAACCGGCGACTGACTCGCAAAGTAGGCCTGAACAGCCGATTGAAATAGCTTGTCGGCCAAAGCGGCTATGGACAAATCCCTCGAGGGTAGTTCAACAGCGGCCGAGGCTGCGTAGGCACCCGGCACTAAAGAGCTCATTGCGGGCACGGTATCTGGTAGGCCTGCAACGGGAGCGAGGAACCGCCTCAAAGCTTCTCGAGAAATTTGGCGAAAATCCTGCAAACCAGGAAAAAAAGGACCAAGGGCGTCCTTGCGGTAAGCCAAGGAGTGGATCAAGGTCATCCTTGCGGTAAGCCGGAAACTGACGGAGAGCATGGACGCCTCCGTGAACCATGAGGCAGCTTCCAAAACTTCCAAGCCATTGGGCTCAAAGAGACAACGGTCAGTGGATAAGAGCACTGAGAGGGAACTTAAAAAGCCCAGATATATAAATTCTTCCGACCCTATTAACCCTGTTCGGGCACAAAGGGCTTTCAACGATATCGCTAAAACCATCTAGGCCTAGAAATTATTGATAGGGGCACATGGAGAGGAACCTGACGGCGGACGTCCTTGTGGGCTCCTGCCGGGTCTACTAGGAGATTCTTGGCAAAAACCCAGGACCCTCTCTGTAGTCCGAGACGCGGGCCTTCACCAGGTCCACATAAAATTGGTTTCCTCTGCCGACGAAAGGTCAGTGAAACTATATAATAAAGCCATAGCCATGCTGGGTGAACTGTGGCCCGGCGCCAACCTGGCGGCCGTTCATAGGGATGAAATTCCTTGTACGCCCCGGGCCCGGGCCTTGGTGCCAGAAGAACCCGCCAAGCCCGAATGAGATATCTTGGAGATAATCCAGCTCTCCGACGGCTCACTACCAACCCTTGATTGGAGAGTAGTGAAGGTCAGCGAGGTGAAGGATCAGCCGAGATATATCACGTTTGTTATAAAGGAAGACTTTCTGCCCATATTCGCAGAAAACAATGGGGTAATAATCTACGGCTTTTACTTCATAACCCTCAAAACCCAAAAAGAGAATGAGGACATTTCCCAAAAACACGAGAGACACTACATGTGAACCCGTTGCTTCCAACCCTGTTTCTCAAGACGACTCTATGAAAGGGGAGAGTGAACCAGTTCCGCCCCAGGAAAACTTGGACGGACAAGCAAAGACTCAGACCTTGGAGTCATATGTAGGCACGGACAGCGATACTAGTTCCGTGACTAGCCTTTTAGGATCATTCATTCATTAGATGGATCAAGATCTCGGAGGACCGGCTACTGGCTTCGGACGATGAGGACGCTGACGTAACAGAAGTAGCGCCCAAGGACGACAGCCAGGACACAATGGACGACGAGATCATGAGCATGTCTGACAATGGTGAGGGTCCTACAAATTAACCTCCACCATTCGAAGGCAGCATCGGCTGCACCTAGACGCAAGAGGCGAGGAGCTCGTATATGTCCAGGAACCTTGGGTAGCACACCAGAAGATTTGTGGACTCAACTCTAATGCATATCATGGCGTGTCAGCCCCTGTGATAGGTAAGATTAGATCATGCATTTTAATAAAGAAAACTGTTTCTAATCTTCTACTCACACAGTTTAGTGACGAGGACACGGCGAGAATATGCGTGAAAGTTTGGTCAAAACCACTTTGGCTGGTCTCATCGTACATGGTACACGATCACGCCACTTATCCCTTGACCTGGTTGCGGGACGTTGTGGAAGTAGGCTAACTTTTGTTACCTCTAACAGAAGGGAGGTGCTAGACATTTCTCTTTTGTGGGATAGTTTCTCAGAAAATTTTACTTAGTAGCATGACTCAAATGACCATGCATTTTCCGATCAGAGATACACAAATTTTATGATCTCTTTCTAACCACCATCTCCAGTCGCTTACAGAAATAGGAGACGAACCGACTGGAACAAGTTCAGGAGTATATGCTCGGACCTCCTTTTTAGAAGCGCTATTAACAGTAAGTCTCGCTTACCGATGACATCTGATGAAACGGAATCTGTTGACTTCCAGCATGCTTCTCTCGGAGGACTACGTTCAACGGAAAAAATTTAAGAAGCAGTGGACCATATCACCAAAGCCTGTAGCGCGGCTTTTTCCACCTCCTGCCCTATCATAATTCCGAAGTGAAAAAAGAAGTCACATTGTTGGAACGAAGAAATCGCCTCCCTGATAATGCAGGAAGCTCTGTATTAAGACGAAAAGAGGTGGATTATGGCACTCTTATAAGGAATCCTTAAGAAATATCAAGCGAGCTATCAAAAAGGCTCAGAGGACATCATGGAAAAACTTCTGTAACAACATTGAGGAACATTTGGAAGGCAACCGGTTACGGAAGTTCTTATCAAAGAGTCTCTTTTCTCCCAGTTACATCCAAAGGCCAAACGGCGAGTCGATTTCATCTTCGGATGATATGCTGGAGATTCTTGTAGATACACACTCCCCTGGCTGCTACGTAGCGCCGAGTAAGTCCGTCCCGGCTCCACGGGAATTTGATTGGGTTGCAAGATCTTTTAAACCTTTCAAATCCCCTAGGATGGATGGCATTTTCCTACTTTACTACTACTCTACTCTACTACACTAGAGGCCTACTCCGGAGGCAAATCTGTGGAATAGCACTCCACAAAATCGTTTCCGATATTGAAAAATGCTTGGAATACAAGGACTTAATACTGGGTATCTTTCGAGACGTAGAAGGAGCCTTTAATAATGTCCTCCCAGAGGCGAGAGAGCATCTAAGATCCAGATCGGACTGGATCGATCCCTGGTGGACTTTGTCCGTGTTCTCCTCAACCGGAGAACTATGTATTTGGAGATAGGTGGAGCTCACCACTTCTCTGGAATCTTACGGTAAACACCATTCTCGTGCGCTTACAGGACACTGGCTGCAACGCTATTGCATATGCCGATGACCTTGCCCTAACTGAAACCGGTAAACACCCACAAATCCTGAGAGAAATGTTGCAGAACGCCTTGAGTATCGTGGAAACCTGGTCTGGAGAATGCGGATTGAATGCAAAAATCAAAGTTTATTACTCACATCGTGTAGGTTACAAGCAACAGGGACATTCAAGGTAACCGTGTTGCGAACGAGCTTGCGAGGAAGCGAACCACCCTGTCTGACGTCAACTCCTCTCATGCAGCGGGCATACCCCCATCTACCTGCAAGACATGGCTCAGGGCATACTTCGTTTGGGAAGGCAAACAAAAGGTGGTCGGAAGAACCCACGTGTGGGACGAGTCGACAAATCTGGCCCAGCTTCGACAAGAAAATATCCGACGAACTCATTGCGTTAGAACGCCCTGTACTAAGGCTAGTGACCGGTATTATTACAGGCCACTGCCTAATGGGAAGGCATTCTAGCAGAATGGGTTTGCCGGCTAATGACTTCTGCCGTGGTTGCCGCGGCGAGGACAAAATCGGGAGCATGGAGCACTACCTATGTCACTGCCCCGCCTACATGTGGACGAAAATACGCTCATTTCACCACTACCAGTTTGTCTGCCTCTCCGCTTTAAATGAAGCAGGCATTTACGAATTCTCACACTTTCTCATCCTAACCAAATGGTTCCACTTCTAGGTAAACGGACAGGTTCGGATTCGAGCTCCTAATTGGTATCACAACGCACCTATTGGATGTAAATGTGCCTCTTTCTCATGTGGAATGTAGTCAGCCGCTTCAACCAAACCTAACCTAACATAACCCTTCCTTCCTGAGCCGCAATGGTGCCGTGAACCGTTTACAGCATTTCTGTTTATTCAGTACAAACCGTTCAATCAGCATTTGTGTTTACCAAACTGCTTGTGCAAAGTATTGCATTACACATATTTCATTATAAGTATGGAATACAATGAATAGCGTTGGAATGCCAAAGAACAAATTGTTTACGTAATTAGTTCGATTACTTACACAACTTAAGTTGTTTGCTCACTTGGCCACTACTCGTGTTAACTTCTCCCTGGCTTAAATGTGATCCATCCTCGGTTCTCTTCAGACTTTCCACGACCACTTGAATGGCATGGGTTTGGCGCCGTGCTTTCATGCGCTTGAATAGTTGCACGCTGACCTAGCGAAGAATTAAAACAACAGTAGCTGCAAAAGCTGACAAGGCCGGATTTGCAATTAATTTTGTATCCATTTTCCAATGTAACGTAGATTATTGACGTTCATGTTATGAAGGTAGGGCAAGCTCAGTTCCGTTTGGTACCCAGTGAGATTTAGAAGCGATGAAGCCGCGGTACCAGGCGTTTTCTTAATGATGTTGTTGCGGTTCCTGTAGCTCGATGTATTTATCTGAACCGTATCGTCGAAAGTTATAGTCCATTCGGCTTTGTCTCCTGCTCTTATCACTACCATGTGATCGTTGAGGATTATGACACTATTTACAATTATTTCTATTGACTTAAGATTGCTGGGCTCAGAGGTGCAATGCGCAGTACTACCAGATTATATCTGTTGGGCACACGTTGGGCTTGGC